ATAACACCGCAGGTAGGCCCCAAGTATTTCTGCATTGGTTGGAAGCTTCTTAGGGCAGTGATTGATGCGGACAGAAAAAAAGGTAAGGATTTTAATTCTCAAAAGGCTTTATATTCCTTAAAATAGGAAACAAATAGAAGTAATTAAGTTTGGTTAATGCTGAAGGGAAAGATGTAAATGGTAATGGGTGACCAAATAGAGGTGTCTTACAGATGAGAGGAACATGAATTGATCTCTAAAAGAGGGAATATTAGGATTGATGGACTGGAGAGGAAGAATGGTATAGTGAAGGGGAGCTTGGGCAGAGATGGAGAGGCAGGGAGTCATCCTTTCCATCCAATGGAGTGACTCATGGAGGCCACTGGGTAGGTGTGAGGCCACAATGCAGTGACACTGATTTAACATTAACTTTGGTTAAAAAAAAGATAATTGCTTCTATATTACTCTCCTTTCTTTCTTTGCTTTCTGTTTTTTAGGAAAACTATGAACAGATGAAGTACTTAAAATCAGACTCCATGAACGAGCACAAGAAAATAAGATTCAAGGTAAAACACTCATTTTATTATCCTTTTAATGAGCACAATGAAAATGTTCTGATAGTTATTGGTTTTAGAAAAAACCAGTAGCAGTAAGCTTGACTCTTCAAGACTGATTTGTGTGTCTCATTTCATTTTTTCCTGTTGTCAGTTTTTTTGCTCTTACAACATTGCCATTATGTGGAAAAGAAATTTCAGATTCATCAATTGAAATTTTTTTATGTTTATTTATTTTGAGAGGAACAAAGCATGAGCAGGAAGGGGCAGAGAGAGAGAGACACAGAATCTGAAGCAGTCCTGGGGAACTTAAGCTCCTGTCAACAACCATGCACGGGCTAACCACAAATGGGGGATTATACAAGCACCTGAGTCATCAGAGGCTCTAGACTGAGGCTCACCCAGGTGCCCCTCAGATTCACTAATTTTCAAAGTATTACTGCTTAAAGGTTTTTTCAGCCACAGCATCCATTAAAATTTTTTGTTTTACCTGAACACACTGAAACCTTTTCTGTTCATTAGTTATATTCATCCTATATCTAATTTTGCATATATGAGATTTTTCTGCTTTGTTATATAACTTGGAAATAATAGTCTATGTGGGTTTATTGCTGATTAAATAAATGATATTTCTAAGAGCTTGGCAATGTGTTATTATTTTCTATTTTCAATGTGTGGACATAATAGACATACCTTTTGCTTGGAGCCTAAATGCATCATAGGAAGGTAAGCTATAATGTATAAATTACAAAATGTGTGCCATTATTGTCAATGCCCAAATTTACTTTAGAAGGAAACTTTGTGAGTTGAAAAGCTATTTCAAAATAAGTTTTTTTTTTTTAAATTACTTCATTTATTTTGAGAGGGGGAGTGTAAAGTTGCCTGCTTGCACATCTTTGCAGAGAGAGAGACGAGAGAGAGAGAGAGAGAGGAGAAAGGAGAGAGGAAGAGAAGGGCTCTCTCAAGTAGGTTCACTGGGCTCATAGCACAAAGCGTGGGGCTTGAACTCACAAACCATGAGATCATGACCTGTACAAAATCAAGAGCTGGAGTCTTAACATACTGAGCCCAGGTGCCACTGAATTTCGATAGATTCTGAGAGGTGCTTAGCTTTATAATGCTGCATGATAATTACTTTACCAATGATGGAGAAGAGCACAATAGTTTTGGTGGAATTAAAACAGGGGACTTATATGACCTAAGATGGTTTTAGAAGCTTTTAAAATGGAAGTTAACTCCAATAGCATAGTTCTAACAATGCATGTCACAGTTAGTATTTGTGCTGTGCAGGCAGAGGCAGACAGATGTGTTGATTAAAGATGCTTGAGGCATGGGTGCTCAGTCACTTGAGCATCTGACTCTTGATTTCAGCTGGATCAGAACTCATTGTTTGTAGCTACCATTAGTCGTCTAACAGATGAACTGCTAGGAATTCTCTCCCCTCTCTCTCTGCCCTCCCCTTCTACTGGTGCTCATGCTCTCTCTCTCTCTCTCCCCTCAGTAATACACTAAAAAAAAAAAAAAAAGATGCTTATAGGGTGCCTGGTTGGCCCAACTCTTGAATTTCTCGGGTCATGATCTTTGATTTGTAAAGAATCCAAAGAAGCCAGTGTGGAGCCTGCTTGGAATTCTGTCTCCTTCTCTCTCTCCTCCCTCACCTTGCACGTGCATGTGCTCTCTCTCTCTTTCAATAAACATTAAAAAAGCCACATCCTGTAAACTGTAGAATGCTTCTGAGTTTTCAGGGATGTTAAAAGTGTGAACAAAATGTATGTATTAGAATGAATGCAATATGGTAAACGAGCTGGGAGAAGCTTTTCGGTCTCAAGTCTGTGGAAATGGAATAGTGCAGAATCTTTGAATAATCTCTTGAAAGAAAACTAAGATGCTGCATGTTGTTTTTATGGCTATCCACATATCCCAAGTCATTAAATGCCAGGAGAGACTCTGTAATCTGAAAATCTGCTTCAAGGATAGCCCTCTTTCTGATTTTTCCTAATAAAACTGGAAGTCACCATCTGTTCCATTGCCAATTCTACTCTAGGTAATTAACAAAGAATGGTTTTATCTTAAGTACTTGGAAAACAAATGTGTGTGTTTTCTTATCACTTCTTTGTCATTCTACCTCATACCTTACTCCTTTGTAGTCCTTTGTGAGTATTTTAGGTCACCTGACTCTAAATCCCTACACCACAAGACCCTGTGCTTTCCTTTCATTGCCTCAAGGTTTGCATTTTCTTCTTGTCGGTGAATATTTTATTTTTTAAACATATATTATAAGGTATAACTGGCATACTAAGTGCATTATTTAAAATGTACATTTGAGTTTGACATTATTTCCTTGTGGAAACCGGCACTACAACATAATAGATCATAAAATTGCCTGTCCCAAAGAAATTTCCTGTGCCCTTGATAACCCCTCTCTCCTGCACTCTCCACACCCAGACCCCACTAGTGAGGGAGTGCCAGGTCCACTCTGATGGTTGGAGAAGAGAGAAGCAGTTTGACTTCATTACACTATTTTGGAACTAAATCTTTGCCTCCTAGAATTATTTTAATTTTAAATTGGTTAACGTGTAATAACAGTCTGTTGGCCAGCTTAGGCAGATTTAATCTTAAAAAATATGCCATCTGCCTCTTCAGGAAAAAAAATTCCCTTGGATAGGGAAAAGGGCCTGGTTTGAAAAAACAAGGTAATACTTGGAGCTTGTATGGCTGAAGTAGGTAAGAGCTTGTTTTCCTCTAAAGCCCTCAAAATAGCTTTTTATTAGATACTTCATAGCCCCACAGCGGTTAAGCTGATTGAGTCTTAGGCCAGTGAAATACCTATTAGGTACTGTATGATCCTTCCCTTTCTGGTCTGATGCCGGGTTGCTGAGGTGGGTTACTCGATATTCACGCAGATACGCAGGAGCCCGGTGCGAATCAGGTCTTGGGAGGAGGTTGGTGGCTTTCACTTAGGCAGCCTCACCTGGTTTACCTCCGTGGGCTCTTTGATCTGTAAGTTTTCTTGGACCGGAGCAAGCTTGATAAGAACAGCCAGTCTCTGAGTGAAGATACTAACAAAGTGGACTTCTTCGTTGCCATGTTAGGTGTGCAGCTCTCTCCATTTGGAGACCTTAGTGTAAAAAGTTATGGGTCACCCTATCTTTAAAGAGTAGTCTTGCTGCACTCATCATGGAGGTCATTTCTAAGTGCTTTTAAGCTGGGACAAATGAAGCTAGGACTTTTGATTCACATAGTAAGCGCGGCTAGTGAGGTAACCCGCAGTGTATTGAACAGAGTGGAGTGGGCAGTATGGCAATGCATGAGTTGCAAGAGAAGATGCTATATTATTTCTTTAAGCAATTACCAGTGAATTTAGAAAATGTAGGTATGCTGTGAAATCAGAAATCGACTGATTTTTTTTTTTTTTAATACAGTTTATACCTGAGCTGAAGTCAGAAGCTTAATTGACTGAGCCACCCAGGTGGCTCTTGTTCCTTTTTAAATATAAAATAGGATCTGTTGTGTTTCCTGGGCTCTGTTTTTAAGTGTAATTTGTCAGTTAGCAAGTGTTTTATTTTAATGTTTACTTATTTATTTAAAAAAAATTTTTAATGTTTTATTATTTTTGAGAGACAGAGAGAAAGAGTAGGAGAGGGGCAGAACAAGAAGGAGACACAGAATCTGAAGCAGGCTCCAGATTCTGAGCTGTCAGCACAGAGCCTGACACGGGGCTTGAACTCAAACTGTGAGATCGTGACCTGAGCCGAAGTTGGACGCTTAACCGACTGAGCCACCCAGGGGCCCCTTATTTATTTATTTTGAGAGAGAGTGAGCATTCGAGCAGGGAAGGGGCAGAGAGAGAGAGAGAGGAAGACCAAAAATCCCAAGCAGCTTTTGCAAAGTTAGTGAAGAGGGTGATGTGGGGCTTGAACCCACGAACTGTGAGATCATGCCTTGAGCTGATATCAAGAGTCCGATGCTCAACCGACTGAACCACCCAGGTACCCCCAAGTATTTCTGCATTGGTTGGAAACTTCTTAGGGCAGTGATTGATGGGACAGAAAAAGGTAGATGGCATTTTAATTCTCAAAGGGCTTATATTCCTTAAAATAGGAAAACAAATAGAAATGAATTAAGTTTGGTTAATGCTGAAGGAAGAAAGATGGTAAATGAGTAGGAGTGACCAGAAATGAGAGGTGTTACAGATGAGAGGGAACATGAATTGATCTCTAAAGAGGGGTAATATTAGGATTGATGGACTGGAGAGGGAAGGTGGTAGTGAAGGGGAGCTTGGGCAGAGATGGAGAGGCAGGAGTCATCCTTTCCATCCAATGGAGTGACCACATGGAGGCCACATGGGTAGGTGTGAGGCCACATGCAGTGACACATGATGTTAACATTAGCCCTTACTTTGGTTAAAAAAAAAAGATAATTGCTTTCTAATATTACTCTCCCTTTCTTTCTTTGCTTCTGTTTTAGGAAAACTATGAACAGATGAAAGTACTTGTAAATCAGCTCCATGAACGAGCACAGAAAATAAGATTAGGTAAACACTCATTTATTCTTCCTTTTATGCTTTTAATGAAAATGTTCCTTGATAGTTATTGGTTTTAGAAAAAACCAGTAGCAGTAAGCTTTGACTCTTCAAGACTGTTTGTTGGTGTGCTCACATTTCATTTTTTCCTGTTGTCAGTTTTTTTGCTCTTACAACATTGCCATTATGTGGGAAAAAGTAAAATTTCAGATTCATCAATTTAAAAAGTTTTTTTATGTTTATTTATTTTTGAGAGAGACAAAGCATGAGCAGGGAAGGGGCAGAGAGAGAGGGAGACACAGAATCTGAAGCAGGCTCTGGGCTTAAGCTGTCAGCACAAACCAGATGCAGGGCTTAAACCCACAAACCAGGGGATTATGACCTGAGCCGAAGTCAGAGGCTCAAACGACTGAGCCACCCAGGTGCCCCTCAGATTCACTAATTTTCAAAGTATTACTGCTTAAAGGTTTATTTCAGCCACAGCATCCATTAAAATTTTTGTTTTACCTGAAGCAACTGAAACCTTTTCTGTTCATTAGTTATATTCATCCTATATACTAATTTTGCATAATTATGAATTTTCTGCTTTGTTATATAACTTGGAAATAATGTCTATGTGGGTTTATTGCTGATTAAATAAATGATATTTCCTAAGAACTTGGCAAATTGTTATTATTTTCTATTTTCAAATTGTGGACATAATAGACATCCTTTTGCTTGGACGAAATTGCATCATAGGGAATGTAAACTATTAATGTATAAACAATTACAGCAAATTCTGCTGTGCCATTATTGGTCAATGCAAAAATTTACTTTAGAAGGCTTTGTGAGTTGAAACTAAAAGCTATTTCCAAAATAAGTTTTTTTTTTTTTAAAGCTTATTCATTTATTTTGAGAGAGAGTGTGTGTGCCTGCTTGCACATGCGAGCAGGATAGGGCAGAGAGAGAGAGAGAGAGAGAGAGAGAGAGAGAGAGAGAGAGAGAGAGAGAGAGAGAGAGGCTCTCAAGTAGGTTCTGGGCTCATAGCACAAACGTGGGGCTTGAACTCACAAACCATGAGATCATGACCTGAGCAGAAATCAAGAGCTGGATGCTTAACATACTGAGCCCCGCAGGTGCCACTGTAAGTATTTTGATAGATTCTGAAGTGCTTAGCTTTATAATGCTGCATGATAATTACTTTACCAATATGGAAAAGCACAAATAGTTTTGGTGGTTAAAACAGGGGACTTGTAATGACCTAAAGATGGTTTTTGAAGACTTTTAAAATGGAAGTTAACTCCATGCATACAGTTCTAACAATGCATGTCACAGTTGAAGTGACATTTGTGCTGTGCAGGCAGAGGCAGACAGATGTGTTGATTAAAAGATGCTTGGGGCGCCTGGGTGGCTCAGTCACTTAAGCATCTGACTCTTGATTTCAGCTCAGGTCACGAACTCATTGTTTGTGAGTTTGAGCCCCGCATTGGGCTCCGTGCTGACAGCATGAAACCTGCTTGGAATTCTCTCTCCCTCTCTCTCTGCCCCTCCCCTTCTGGTGCTCATGCTCTCTCCCTCTCTCTCTCTCTCTCTCTCGAAGTAAATACACTTAAAAAAAAAAAAAAAGATGCTATAGGGGTGCCTGGTTGGCCCAACTCTTGATTGCGCCTCAGGTCATGATCTTGGTTGTAGAATCAAGCCGAGTGTGGAGCCTGCTTGGAATTCTGTCTCTCCTTCTCTCTCTGCCCCTCCCTCACTTGCACGTGCATGTGCTCTCTCTCTCTCTTTCAAAATAAACATTAAAAAAGCCACATCCTGTAAACTGTAGAATGCTTCCTGATTTCAGGGATGTTAAAAGTGTGAACAAAATGTATGTATTAGAATGAATGCAATATGGTAAACGAGCTAGGAGAAAGGCTTTTCAGTCTCCAAGTCTGTGGAAATGGAGATAGTGCAGAATCTTTGAGAATAATCCTTGGAAAACTAAGATGCTGTGTCATGTTGTTTTTATGGCTATCCACATATCCCAAGTCAGTTTAAATGCCAGAGGAGCAGAGCTCTGTAATCTGAAAATCTGCTTCAAGGATAGCCCTCTTTCTGATTTTTCCTAATAAAACTGGAAGTCACCAGCTGTTCCAAATTGCCAATTCATACTCTAGGCGGAATTAACAAAGAATGGTTTTATCTTAAGTACTTGGAAAACAAATGTGTGTGTTTCTTATCACTTCTTTGTCATTCTACCTTCTCTGGCCACCTCTCCCTTGCTAGTCCTTTAGTGAGTATTTAGGTCACCTGACTCTCCAAATACCCTCACCACAAGACCTGGCTTTCCTTTCATTGCCTCAGGTGCATTTTTCTTGTAATATTTATTTTTAAACAATATTATTAAGGTATAACTGGCATACAATAAAGTGCATTATTTAAAATGTACATTTTGAGTTTTGACATAGGTATATTCCTTGTGAAACCGGCACTACAACCAAGATCATAAACGTGCCTGTCCCAGAAATTTCCTGTGCCCCTTGATAACCCCTCTCTCCTGCACTCTCCTACACCCAGACCCACCTTAGTAGGGGAAGTCAGGTCCTCTGAGTGGTTGGGAGAAAGAGAAGAGCGGTTTGACTTCATTACACTATTTTGGAACTAAATCTTTGCCTCCTAGAATTATTTTCATTTTAAAAGGTTAAACGTGTAATACAGTTCTCTTGGTAACTTTAAGGCAGATTTAATCTTAAAAATATGCCATCTGCCTCTTCAGGAAAAAAAAAAAATTCCCTTGGATAGAGGAAAGAGGCCTGGTTTGAAAAACAAGGTAATACTTGGAAGCTTGTATGAAGTAGGTAAGAGCTTGTTTTCTCCCCTAAAAAGCCCTCAAAGAAATAGCTTTTTTAGATAGCTGAACACTTCATGAGCCCCAGCGCGGATTAAGCTGAAAGTCATGGGCACCAGTGAAAATAAACCTATTAAGGTACTGTATGATCCTTCCCTTTCTGGTCTGATGCCTTGGGTTGCTGAGAGTGGGTTATCGATATTCACGAGATACCGAGCCCGGTAGCCGTCAGTCTTGGGGAGGGTTGGTGTGCTGTTCACTTCAGGCAGCCTCACCTGGTTACCTCCGTGGGCTCTTTGACTACTGTAGTTTTCTTGGACCGGAGCAACTTGAGGAAACACAGAAGCCAGTCTCTGAGTGAAGATACTAACAAAAGTGGACTTCTTCGTTGCCATGTTAGGTGTGCAGCTCTCTCCCATTTGGAGACAGTGTAAAAAGTTATGGGTCACCTATCTTTAGGTAAGTCTTGCTGCACTCATCATGGAGGTCATTTCTAAAACAGTGCTTTTCGCCTGGGACAAATGAAGCTAGGACTTTTTCAAATTTCACATAGTACGTAGCAGAGCGCTAGGTAGTCGTAGGTATTGAACAGATGTGGAGTTGAGGCAGTATTGGCAATGCATGAGTTGCAGAGAAGATGCTATATTATTTCTTTAAGCAATTACCAGTGAATTCAGAAAATGTATGGTATGCTGTGAAATCAGAAATCGACTGATTTTTTTTTTTTTTAATGCAAGTTTATTTACTTCAGAAAATAAAGCTTGTGAGTTGAATGGAAGATCTGAAAGTTAGCTGTTTCTGAAAAGATACGTTGAACTTTTAAAAGTGCTGTATTTTGGGCTGTTTTATGTTTTTCTGGCCTTAAATTACTGGGAGACCTTATATGCTGTCAATCTAATCTAATCATGTTTTTATCGCAGGAGGCAGTGAGAAAGCCCGAGAACGCCACGTATCAAGAGGAAAACTTTTAGCCAGAGAAAGAGTGGACAGTCTTATAGATCCAGGGTTGGTATAGCCCAAGTGCTAACTCAAGTGTTCTCTAATCTGTGGTACTTTCTTAAACAGTTTTATAAATAAGTGATTTAAAATTCTGATTCTTACTCTAAGATTCAACAACAAATGTTTATTGAGAGGCTAAGTGTCAGGCACTGTTATAGGTGCTAGTGATACATGAGTGAACAAAACCGACACAGGTCCTTGTCCAACTAGAGTTTACATTGTAGCAGGAGGAAGTAGAAAGTAAATGACAAATGTAAGTTCTGCAGTATGTTAGAAGGTGATAAATGTCATGGGAAAAAGAAAGACCGGAATAAGGGAGGAGGGTCAAGTTGTAGTTTTAAATAAGGTGGTTAGGGTAGGCCTCATTGAGAAAGTGACATCTGAGCAAAGATTTGAAGGAGTGAAGAGAGAGAGCCCTGAAATACAGTGAAAGAGTGTTAACAGACAGAAGGAATAGCCATTGCAAAGGCCCTGAGGTAGGAATGTGCAGGATATGCTGATACGCTCAAGAACCGAGGATGCCAGTATGTTTGGGGTAGAAGGCATGAAGGGGAGAGTGGTAGGAGGTAGGGTTCCATTCCATAAAACCTTGGAGGTTAGTGTAAAAGTTTTGGCTTTTTTTTTTTTTAAGTTTATTTTTATTTTGAGAGAGTGAGGGGTGGGGTGCTTGGGGAGAGAATCCCAAGCAGGCTCTGCACTGTCAGCGCATAGCATGATGTGGGGTTGAACTCATGAACCACGAGATCATGGCCTGAACCAAAATCAAAAGTCGGAGGTTTAACCGACTGAGCCACTCAGGCACCCCAAGAGTTTTGGCTTTTATCCAGAGAGGAATGAGGAGGCTCTTGGGATTTTGAATATGAAACTATTACGATCTACGTGACTAACATCTGAAAAGAGTCATTCCAGCTGCTGTTTGGGGAGTAGAAAGTGGGCAGCAAGGCTGGAAGCACCAAGATGAGTTAGACATCTGTGGCAGTGATTCAAAGGAGACATGATGTGACTTGAACTTAGGATAGTAGTACTGGAGGTGATGAGAATGTCACGTTCTAGGCCTGTCAAGACCTAACCCAGTGGGATTTCCTGAAGGATTGGAGTGGAGGGAATGCAGGTGGAGAGAAGGGAATGAGGACTCAAAAGTTTTTTTTTTTTTTTAATTTTATTTTTATTTATTTTGAAAGAGGAGCACAGCGGGAGAGGGACAGAGAGGGAGAGAGAATCCCAGGCGGGCTCCACACTGTTAGTGCAGAGCCTGACGTGGGGCTCAAACCCACGAACTGTGAGATTATGACCTGAGTAGAAGTCAGACACCTGACTGACTGAAAAACTCAGTCCTCCTTTTTTTTTTTTTTTAATCTTTAAAGTTTATTTACTTATTTATTTTTGAGAGACAGAGCAAGCAGGGGAGGGGTGGTGAGAGAGGGAGAGAATCCCAGGCAGGCTCCACACTGTCAGTATGGAGCCCAATGTGGGGCTCCAACTCACGAAGCATGAGATCATGACCTGAGCTGAAACCAAGAGTCGGACGCTTAACCGACTGGGCCACCCAGGCGCCCCCGAAAGTATTTTTTTATGACATATACCCATATTCCCAACCCGGAGGCAAAAACACTGTTAACACCAAGTGTGCATCCTTCTAGACTGTTCTTAGGTGTATGTGTAATAGACACTTTTTTTTATAAGAAAAATGGAATCATACTAAATGTGGTGTTTTATAACACCCTTTTTTCCCCTACTTAACTAGATCTTGAACATTGAAGTAAGTGAAAGGTGGAGTAATAGCTACAGTGGTGTGGAGCCTGGTCCCTGGGGTTAGATTGCTTATCAAAACCCAGCTCTGCCACTTACTAGTTGTGTGACTTCAGACAAGTGATTCAATTTCTTTTTTTTAGTTTCCTCCTCTGTCAGTGGGGATCATAATAGGATCCACCTCAGGAAGTAGTTCTGAGGTACAAGTGAGTTAGGTTTCTGAAGGTCCTGAAAAAGAGCTGGGCAAAGGGTAGGGGCTTATATAAGTGTTACATGCTATTCTCTTTCTGTACTAATAAACACATTGGTACAACATCCTTTAAAATAGCTACTTAGTGTTCTATTTCATGGCTATACTGTGTAAATCCTCAAACTACCCACACTAGATTTTGTTTAAATATTTTTCTTTTTTGTGGATTTTATATATGTTCAACATGCATGCTTGAAACATTGGCTTGTTAATCTTTTCCACGTATAACTTTAAATATGCATTTTTAGGGGCGCCTGGGTGGCGCAGTCGGTTGAGCGTCCGACTTCAGCCAGGTCACGATCTCGCGGTCCGTGAGTTCGAGCCCCGCGTCAGGCTCTGGGCTGATGGCTCAGAGCCTGGAGCCTGTTTCCGATTCTGTGTCTCCCTCTCTCTCTGCCCCTCCCCCGTTCATGCTCTGTCTCTCTCTGTCCCAAAAATAAATAAACGTTGAAAAAAAAAATTTAAAAAAAAAATATGCATTTTTAAAAAATAACTTCAATTCAGGTAATATCCTTTCTTCCCTGCAGGTCTCCATTTCTGGAATTTTCCCAGTTTGCAGGTTACCAGTTATACGCTAATGAGGAGGTGCCTGCCGGTGGCATTATTACAGGCATTGGGAGAGTATCAGGGTGAGTGTTCTACTTATACTCCATAATGTGGGGCAGGAAAAGATTGACGGGCACAGTCTTCCAGCTCTCACTGCTTTGCATGTGAACTTGCAAGTTTTGTGCTATTTATATTATGTAGGGCTGAGGCTTCCTGCCCAGACATGTATTAGATTTATCTGTGGAGATTTAGAGACAAAGACTGAAGGGGAAAAAAAAAAACAAAACAAAACAGCACAAATTCTGGGGCTCAAATCCAAATCTTCCTACATAATCAGAATCTGCAGGCGTGGGCTTCGCTTATATCGTTTTCCAAGGCTCTGTAGGTGATCTCTTGGACATCTCTGGTGAATACCACTGTCTTAGAGGAGTCATTCTCTAATTGTGCTCTTCAGGTAGCATCAGCATCACCTGAGAACTTGACAGAAGTGTAGATTACTAGGTCTTCGTAAGAAGTATTAAATTAAATTTTGAGGGTGGGGCCTGGCAATCTGTTTTTTAACAAGCCCTCCAAGATTCTGGAATGCTAATATTTGAGAACCACTCTAGACTTGGGGAATCTAGATTGCTAGAACTTAAATTTACTTGCGTATATTTATGTATGGTCTCATATTTACCATCTCAAGTTAGCATGCCAGACATTGTAGTAAACACTTCCCACTGATTGGTTGTTTTATTTTACTTATGTATTTTTGGGGGGAGGAGGAGAGCTAGAGCACACATGCGTGTGGGGGAGTTGCAGAGGGAGAGGGAGAATCCTAACCAGGCTCCACACCCAGCATGGAGCCCAGCGAGGAGCTCTATCTCTGCTCTATAAGTGTGAGATCATGACCTGAGCCCAAATCAAGAGGTGGACACTTAACTGGCTGAGCCACCCACGTGCCCCAGTTGTTCTAATGATCACCACAGCTATGTGAGAATGGGTATTACTGTCATCATCCCTCTTCTGCAGGCACGGAAGCCTGCTTGGTAAGATCATAACTGGCCCAAGATCAAGACCCTGGCAAAGCCCAGCTCTGACCTCAGGTGGATGGACTCTGAGCCTGATACAGTTGCATTTGACTCTGATGCTGGTTTATTGTGTGTGTATGTTCTCCCACCTTCTCCCCATGATTCGTGCCTTCAGGGGAGGTACGGCCATAGCCATTCACCATTGTTGCTTCACCTTCCTGTACCCCCACAACTCTTCCACTCTTTGCCAGTTATGGTCTGCTTAATATTTACCCAGTGTGGAGACACTTTCTTTCTGTAGTCTTAGGGGACGCTTAAAAATAAACCTTTCATAAAAGGATAAATTTCATGCAGAGTTAAACTAAATTGATAATCATGAAATACGTAATTAAGCAGGATAGTTACTGTTAATTATGTCTCCAGTCATAATGACAGCAGGTTAGAGCATGCTCTTTCAGCTTTCCTGTGCATATATTAATATCTTATTATTTGTGCTTTTATATTTTTCATTTTTGTTTTCTTTCTTTGTGCCTTGTTCTCACTTTATCAAATTTTCAGCTTGGAAGGAAATTGAATTACACTTAAAAGTTGTGTGGGTTCAGGAGTTGTCAGCCTCCATTAGAATCCTGGCTTTAGCATTTTGTAGCTGTTTGACCTTTAGCAAATTGCTTGACCACTCAGTGCCTTGGTTTTCACATCTGGAAAATATGATTCATTATAAATTTTTTTTTAATGTTTATTTATTTTTGAGACACAGTGAGAATGTGAGTGGGGAAGGGATAGAGAGAGAGGGAGACACAGAATCTGAAGCAGGCTTCAGGCTCCGAGCTGTCAACACGGAGCCCGACATGGGGCTTGAACTCATGAACCACAAGATTATGACCTGAGCAGGAGTCGGATATTCAATCAACTGAGCCACCCAGGCACCCCAAGATAATATGATTCCTTATAAAATGGAATAATCATACCATCTACTGTAGAGGGTTGTCATGGAAGAAGAGAAAGAAACAAGAAAGGGAAGAGAAACACCTCTATTCCTTAAGAGATGCATAATACAAGTGTACTTTTGCCCCTGAGAGTAGACAGACTCGTGTAGATGAGAGTAGAAGCTCTGTTCCCTGCAGCAAGGTCATTGGTAGCTTCAGCCTGGAGCTTTTCAGAGCCAAATCCATTCATACGGTCATTAAAAACTTTTATACCTTTATTGCTTTCTTATATATTTTTGAGTAGTGCTGCATCTATTGATCTAGGCTCCGTGATACCTTCTGAAGTAGACCCCAAGAAATTTAATGAGGAGACTTGTTGTATGGAATTTTATTTATAAACCAGCTTAGAATCAAGGATTTCTTGCCTGAAATAGTAACTGGCTGATGAATAATTGAGCTGTAGTCCTTTTCTCTGGCAAATTCACATATTTTACATGGCTTATTAGGTCCTGTAAGAAACAGTCCCTGCCTGCCTTCCTCACCTTACCTTTGTACCTCTATCACTGTGGCCATCCTGCTCTTGCTGTTTCATGAACACGCTAAACATATATATATATATATGTATATATGGCCTATACTCAAGCCATTTTCTCTGAATCAAGTGTTCTTCACCTGATTCTTTGAGTGGCTTTTGCTCTCCATTCATATTTCCCCTGGAGCAGTGCTTAGGAGCGTGCATTCTAGAATGAGACTGCCTAGACTCAAATGCTGGTTTTAACTTGTTGGTTGGTAACATTGGGCCAGTTGCTTAACTTTTTTGTATCTGTGTCCTCATCTGTAAGTGGGATATCTCACATACTTAAAGCCTTGAAAGAGCACCTCGTACATCATAAGTGACACGTCAGTATGGGCTGTTACTGTTATTTTTACCCTTCCTTCACCATTATACCGTAACATAGCCCCATCTCAATTACTTTGTTTTATTATATATTTTACCTTGTTTTATTATATGTTCTATAGTAACTAATAATAATAAATATTGTATTACTATAATAGTGTGATTTGTAGATAGATGTATTTAGGCATTCAGATGACCAAAATTTGCTTCTCATATATATTTGGTCTTTGTCCACAGTTCCTGGCTCATAGCTCCCCAAACCCTTGGAAGTACTGAGAGTGGTCATGGTGAACTTTGTTCTATCAGTGAAGGTGGCTTTTGGACCCCACCCCAGGGCAGGGCCTAGTTGTTCAGAGAGCCAACTGTGTGATTAGAGGGTTGGAACTTCTCTGCCGTACTTATTCCCCCAATCCCCACCTTTGGGGAAGGGAGAGGGGCTGGAGATCGAATCAGCTAACGGCCACTGAATTACTCAGTTGTGACTAGGCAGTAAAGCCTACATAAAACCCAAGAGGACTGGGAGCTTCCTGGTCAGTGAGCATGTGGAGATGAGGGCAGAGTGGTGCACCTAAGAGAGGACATGGAAGCTCCCCGTCCTTTCCCCATACCTTGCCCTGTGCATCTCTTCACTGAGTGTTAATTTGTGTCTTTTATCATGTCTTTGATAAAACGGTGAACTTAAGTGTTTAAGTGTTAAGCATTCTAGCAAGTTAAAAGAACCTAAGGTGGAGGTCGTTGGAACCTATAGTCTGTAGCTGGTTGGTCAGGAAGCACAGGTCACAGCCTAAGCTTATGATTGCCATCTGAAGTGGGGGGTGGAGAGCAGTCCTGTAGGGCTAACCCTTAGCCTGTGGAATATGATGCTGTTTCCGAGCAGATCATGTCAGAAGTGAGTTGAATTCTCAGACACCAGCAATACCCCCGCAGAGTGTCCGAGAATTGTTTGATGTTGAATGTGGGTGAACCCTCCCCCGCACATTGGGACTGGAAACCCAGAAAGAATTGGTGTGTGTAGAATTACCTTGTTTTATTACAGTGTCATAGCACATATAATCAGAAATTACCTAACAGATTTGTTGTGTGTTTTTGCTTCCCCTAACTGATCCTTTCCACTACAATGGGAGCTCTGTGACATCAGGAATTTTGCCCTTCTTGTTCACTCCATGTCCTTAGTTTCTAGAAAAGGACAAGGCATATAGAACACACTTAAAAAATATTTGTTGAATAAATGAATGGATGTCAGGGGTTATTTTTTTTTTTTTTTTTAATTTTTTTTTCAACGTTTATTTATTTTTGGGACAGAGAGAGACAGAGCATGAACGGGGGAGGGGCAGAGAGAGAGGGAGACACAGAATCGGAAACAGGCTCCAGGCTCTGAGCCATCAGCCCAGAGCCCGACGCGGGGCTCGAACTCACGGACCGCGAGATCGTGACCTGGCTGAAGTCGGACGCTTAACCGACTGCGCCACCCAGGCGCCCCTATCAGGGGTTATTTTATAGGCCAAGTTATATCTCTTGTGGTTATTTCCAGAATGAGATAATGAAGTTGTATCACACTTACAGTATGATGCTCTGTTTTTGTTTTCTTTATTTGGGGGCTTGGTGTGGAATCCCCCTTACTCTACAGTGATTTCAAGTAGGTAAAGACAGGGAGCAGAAGACAGCTTGGTTTAATTCCACTGCACATTTTAAACCATGTAATCAGAAGTATCCTCCCAGACACCAACTTTCAAGTCGTTCTCTATGCACATCAACAACAGGGTTTCATACTGAGCGTATGCATTTTGCCCCACGAGACTCCTCTCCATGGGAGTCTGGCCAAGGAAAGACTTACCTTTTCCCTAGACTTACCATGCTGGCCAAGGAAAGACTTTTTCCCTAGACTTACCATGCTGGCCAAGGAAAGACTTACCTTTTCCCTATACTTACCATGCTGGCCAAGGAAAGACTTACCTTTTCCCTAGAGCTGTGCCAGTGTTAGATATTATGACTGAAAAGGTTCACTCATTTACTAGGTGTAAAGTAGCAGTTCATTGTGATTTACACGCACCTTTCTTACGTAAATAGTGTGGTTGTATATATTGTCACCACTCTTTCTCTGGCCGATGCTAGATGCCCAAACTGGTTTAAGAAAAAAAGAATTTATTGACTCTTAGCTGATAAGTGTGAACATAGCTGGATGTCGGAGCTCAGACGGTGTTATCAGGTCACAGGTGTGTTTTGGTTTTATTCCCAGGCAAGCTTTCTAAACCCAGAGGCAGGGCTAGCCAGAGACATCCCAGTTTCTGTTCTGTAAGGTCAGTAGCTGAGGTAGGAGAGCCCCAAAGGGGTTAGGCTTGGGGTCCAAGCACTCCCCCCCTTTTTTTTTAAGTACTTACGTTTTATGTTCAAGTTCAAATGATCCTTTTTTCTGATATTTATTTAAGAAAACTTTTTTGAACTTAATGTTTATCTTATTGTCTTGTGGTTCGAGTTAGGGGTCCAGTCACCCAGCTCTCTTCTTAGAATCCCACTTAAATTCCTTAAATTAGATAATCCAGAATAACAATAGCTAACATTTATCCAGTGTCCACTATGTGCCAGGGAATATTTTAAGTATTAAATGAATATTTTTTTATTAAAAAAAAAATTTTTTTTAACGTTTATTTATTTTTGAGACAGAGACAGAGTATGAACAGGGGAGGGGCAGAGAGAGAGGGAGACACAGAATCTGAAACAGGCCCCAGGCTCTGAGCTGTCAGCACAGAGCCCGACACGGGGCTCAAACTCACGGACTGTGAGATCATGACCTGAGCCGAAGTCGGACGCTTAACCGACCGAGCCACCCAGGTGCCCCTAAAAAAATTTTTTTAATGTTTATTCTTGAGTGAGAAAGAGAGCACGAGCAGGAGAGGGTCAGAGAGAGAGGGAGACACAGAATCTGAAGCAGGCTCCAGGCTCTGAGCTGTCAGCACAGCGCCCAATTTGGGGCTTGAACTCACTAACTGTGAGATCATGACCTGAGCCAAAGTCAGACACTTAACTGACTGAGCCACCCAGGTGCCCCAAGTATTAAATGAATATTAAATCACTGAAATAAGTATGAGTATTATCCTTATAAAATAGATACTACTGTTATCTCTATTTAAAAATTTTTTTATCACGTACAAGTGAGAAAACTGAGGTATATGAAAATCAGCTTTCTTGAGGTCACTCAGGAGTAAAAGTAAATGGGGGCCCACGCCCCTTGCTGAGCCACACTGTGGACTTGGGGTAGAAGGAGCTGGTTCTTTTCTATACCTTTGAAGATAGGCTTTGGGGGCCAGTGTCACTTGAACCACATGATAGGTAAGAGGCAGCGTCTGAAAGAAAGTTTGGTTCTGTTGCCAAAATAATAGATTGTGGGTATACAAAACCAGTAGATGTACAATGCAGCCTTTTTGTGGACTAATTTTATTTTTTATTCCATAACATGTCTGTGACCTTTTTTGTTTGTTGGTTGGTTTGTTTGTGAAAGAGAAAGAGCACGCACAGCATACACACGTGAGCTGGTGGGGGACAGAGGGAGGGAGAGAATCCCAAGCAGGCTCCATGTTCAGTGCAGAGCGTGACGTGGGGCTCGGTTCCATGTTGCTGAGATCATGACCTGAGTCGAAATCCAGAGTTGGATGCTCAACCTGGCACCACCCAGGTGCCCTTGTGACCTTTTAATAAGCAAGTGAGAGTGGCTCTGTCTCTTGTGGCTCTGTCTCTTGTTCAGGGTCACATGTTCAGCAAGTGGCAGAGCCAACATTTCACCATAGCTTGTCTGACTCCATAGTCTGGCCCCTTTCCTGAATCACAGCTTCTTAAGCTTTTTTAGGGCACCACCCCCAGGGCAGGGCAGAACAGTGCACCCTGGAGGTGTGAGATGATAGCCTCAACCACCTGCCAGAGCATAAATTTCCTTTGAAATCTAATTTGTTTACTAAAGTCATGAAAAATTGGCAGTCCACTCTAAAATGCTAACTGTAATGTGGAAAGAAGCTTTATATCAATAAAATAGATGCTCTAAGGAGAGGAACGCTTTTATCTTGTGGGGAGCACTGCTGGCCACGTACCCTAATGTGAGCAGTCCGTTGCTACCTGAGGCCGCTGTTCAGTTGCTGTTCTCTACTTTATTTTCAACAGGGATTCAGTGACTCACTTTTTAGAATTCTAGAGAATATAAAGTGAGGTTTTAAAACATATCATGAATAGGAGTGCCTGGCTGGCTCAATTGGTGGAGTGTACAGCTCTTGTATTTGGGGTTGTAAGTTCAAGCCCATGTTGGGTGTAGAGATTATTTAAAAATACAATCTTAAAAAAAAAATCAGAAATATAAACAAGATTACATTTTTTATTTTTATTTTTTAATTTTTTTAAATGTTTATTTTTGAGACAGAGACAGAGCATGAACGGGGGAGGGGCAGAGAGAGAGGGAGACACAGAACCCGAAGCAGCCTCCAGGCTCTGAGCTGTCAGCACAGAGCCTGACACGGGGCTCGAACTCACGAACTGTGGGATCAAGACCTGAGCCGAAGTCGGACACTCAACCGACCGAGCCACCCAGGTGCCCCAAGATTACATTTTTTTTAAAGAACCCACTGTTGTTCACTCAGGTTTCCTTCCGGTTTCCCGGCAGGGTTGAGCAGTTTCCCTTACAGGTGGTCTGCACTCACCACTCTGCTCTTTGTGTCCTCCTTATGGGTGTAGCACTCAGCTAAGTGGTTCTGGTGAGAAAGGACACCACTGATGATGCACTTTAATATGTTTTCAATACACTATTTTATCTTATTTTTTACTTTTTTCAAGTGTGGTTTTTAAATTTTATTTTGAGAGAGGGAGGGAGAGAGAGACTCCCAAGCAGGCTTCACACTGTCAGTGCAGAGCCTGGCGTGGGGCTCCAATTCATGAACTCTGAGATCACAACCTGAGCAGAAATCAAAAGTCAGACACTCAGCTAACTGAGCCACCCAGGTGCTCTCAATATGCCATTTTATAGTTTGCATCTATTGTTACTTTAAGCAAGATACATACTGTGTTTTAAACTTGTTTTAGTTTTTTGAAAAGCGTGTGGTAGTAATATTTAAGAACTTTTGAAAATAAGAAAAATAAATTCTCTTGATGGATCAGTTTTCATTTTTCAAATTACCGTCCTAAAAGGAAACTTGGTGGTTTATTATGAGAGATTTCTCACCCTTGAGATTTGGATTATTTTTGTGTGTATATTTTATTATTGTTTTGCTAGGATCATTTCATTGAAAGAACCATTATGAAATGTGGCTGAGGTTGTTAGTTTTTCACTGCTAATAGAGGACCGATGACTCTTTAAAAGTCAAGTATGAGTTTGTAAACTTGTTAAAAGTGATGATATAAATGAGTATGTGGACTTTGATTAAAGCTTGCTTTCATATCATGAGATCATCTGCTAATGACTGTCATTGGTGATATGTACTAGAAGTTGAAGGTTGCATTGGAGTGTCTTACAATGAAATGTACTTGGCCTTTTAACTTTGAAGAAGTCTCTCTTACTCTCTTTGTGATGAAATTTCTGTCTTTCAGAGTAGAATGTATAATTGTTGCCAATGATGCCACCATCAAAGGAGGGACCTACTATCCCGTGACTGTGAAGAAGCATTTGCGGGCACAAGAAATTGCAATGCAAAACAGGCTCCCCTGCATCTACTTGGGCAAGTCACAAGAGTCGTAAAATGAATTATTTTCAGGTGGTAAAATGCAAGAGTGTTTACAAGGTTATATATGATGTCATCATTTTTTTTTTTTTGACAGAGTGTGGGGGAGGGACAGAGAGAGAGTGGGACAGAGGATTTGAAGCGGTCTCTGTACTGACAGCAGAGTCCCATGTGGGGCTTGAACCCCAAGCCAGGAGATGATGACCTGAGCTGAAGGCGGGCTTAACTGACTAAGCGACCCACACCCCCCATCATTGGGTATTTTTAAAAACTGTTGGTTTCTTCCATAATTACAAAAGAAATGCATGCTCTTTGCTGAAAACTCAGGAAGAAAATGTGAACAAGAACTACCCATAACAACATCACTGAGGAATAACCTGTGACAGTATTTTCATGTATGCCAGTTTTTTCTCTACATGGGTGTAGATTTTTTTTCTTCTATATATTTTCTTTTTGTCTTAACCTTAATGAGTTCAAAGTGTGAGAAAATAATAGTAAATATTTATGGATCTCTTGAGTGCTAGGTACTAATTTAAATGCTTTGAGTATGTATATAATTTTCAGCAAATGCAATTTAAGAAATTTAATTTTTAATGAAAGTAAATTTATGTTTGAAATTAAATTACACTTAAATCTAAGGGTATTTCAAAAGGAACATAAAAGCAAGGCAGTTTAAAATTGGCACTGCCTGGGTAATGGTTTAGTTTGGTGAAATACCAGCATATATATATTGTTCATTTTTGCAGGTGTTTGAACAGGTACTGACTTAGAGATTTTTTTCCCTGCAAAAGTGCATTTACCTGGGTGACTCACAGTGTGAACTTTGTTTTGCACATACAGAAAACAGCAAATGAGGCCCTACTGTTTACAGGTGCTGTGCCAAACACTGTAGGTAATGGAGTAAAGAGTATTATGTTGTCCCCATCTTGGGCAAACTTAAATGCACCAGAGACAGGATGTCATGTAGTAAATAACAAAAGACATGATGATTGTAGGCAAGAGTGGTGGGCATAGGACTAGCTAACTTTTCACAGCATTGTTTTTTGCACTCACTCTGTGCTGAACTAAGTAAGTGCTTTATATACATTATTTCATGTCACTCCAGGAATAGCTTCCTGGGAGAGCTACCGTTGTTACTTTGATTTCACAGGTGAGGAACAGGGAGCATAGAATGGCTAGGACATGCCGGTAATCCCACAGATATGAAGTAACCAAGCTCTTTTCCAAATTCAGCTGACCTTCTTATCCCCCACTCAGCCCTGCAGTATAAACAGTCCCAGAGACACTATGTGACAAACTGTCACATGAATTCTGCATGTGGCTTTGCATTGGTTTAAAAGAAAGAAAGATACTTTTTTTTTTTTTTTTTTTAGCTGTACTGGTTAAAAATTTGCGGTGTTTCTGGGGCTTTAGCTGGTCCTCAAAGGAGAGAATGTCCTAAATATTTCAAGTGGAATTTTGCACAGGGAGGAGTGCCTAACGGATTTGATGAAAACAGTGAATTTTTTGGCTGCGTTGGGGGACTGGAGAAAGATGCTGTTGAATAGTTTAGAACGGTGATAGGGCAAGTTTTGTGTGAATGTGATGAAGAACTGTTGCTGTCAGTGGTACACGTCTTCCTGTGTACAGCATGTTTCGTTCATTCAGACGTACTTATTTCTGTTATTTCCCTTGTCTTCAGTTGATTCAGGAGGCGCAAACTTACCTTGGCAAGCAGAAATATTTCCAGATCGAGATCACTTTGGCCGTATATTCTATAATCAGGCAATTATGTCTTCTCAAAATATTGCACAGGTAACTTCTCATTAATGAAAGGTATTGTTTTTTTGCTCCAAATGCCTTTGCCTGCTAGATAGCCTGAGATGACTTAAAACAGAATTTAACACAGAATGTAGATTTTTTTTCCCCCCACAGAAAGTGCCTTAAGGTCAGATTATTCTCTTAATTATGGGCATGCTTTTATGTTTTAATAAAGGCTGTTCACTAAAGGAAAAGAGTTTGTCAAAAGAAAGGACACTGTGTAATTGTTTTTTTTTAATTTTTAAATATTTTTAAATTTTTTTATTTTTGAGAGACAGAGCATGAGCAGGGGAGGGACAGAGAGAGAGGGAGGGAGACACGGAATCCGAAGCAGGCTCTAGGCTCTGAGCTGCTAGCACAGAGCCTGATGCGGGGCTCAAACCCACAAACTGTGAGATCATGACCGGAGCTGAAGTTCGACGCTTAACCGACTGAGCCACCCAGATGCCCCAGTAGTTGCTTTTTTAGGACTACACTTTGAGACATTCTGGTGTCTGAATGAGGAGACATGAGCAAAAAAGATTGTTGTAGCATTGTCCTAGCAAAAGTTAACAAATGACCTAGATGACCATTATTGGGAGATGAATAATACCATTTGTAGCTGTTAAAATGAATGAACTAGAGTTGAACTAGAGTTGCACGCATCAACATAAATAGTTGTAAAAATAATAGAATAAATGCATAGTCATTTGCTTTGTATGTAAATGTTAAAACCATCAAAAAAATCTATTACTTTGTCTTAAAATGTACATGGGAATCATACACGGAGCTTTAGGACAATGGATACCTTTGAGGCGGGAGGGAGGAGAAAGGGGGGCAGGCAGGAGGTTTCAACTATTTCTGAAATATTTTATTTCCTTAACACAAATCTGAAGTAAATTTGGCCAAATGTCAAGATTTGTTAAGACTGGATATTAGGTTAAAGTATTTATTATTCTGTAATCTTTAATCTGAAATACTTCATAACACTGATGCTTGTGCTTTGTTTATGTTTTGTTCCTGGATTTCTTAAGTTTGTAGTGTTTTTAGTAATATTCTAATGAATTAGCCTTTCCTCACAGATCTTTATTTCCTATTGATATAGTGCATTGTTGGCATTTATTATATATTTTATGTTATGCAGTGACTTTGTGCTTTATATATCTAAATAGAAACTTGAGCTTTGCTCACTTGTGCACAGAGGGTCCTTGCATTACATAATATGTAATTCTTACCATGGTGTTTGTTTTATAGGGGATATTGGCCCATCTAATCTGATATTATAACTTGTATAGTTGTACCAACCTTAATCTTACATTAGTTTCCTAGGGCTGCCATAACAAATTACCACATACTGGGTGGCTGAAAAATAACAAAAATTTGTTCTCTCAAGTTCTAGAGGCTAGAGGTCTGAAATGAAGGGGGCAACTTCACTGGGCTCTCTCAGAAGATCCTGTCCCTCGCCTCTGCCAGCTTCTAGTGGCTCCAGGTGTTTCTTGGGCTTGTGACTGTATGACTCTGATCTCTGGCTTGTTTGCCTTCTCCCCTGTGTGTCTGTGTCTTCTCTCTCTTATAAGGACGCTTGTCATTGGATTTAGGGCCCACCCATGTCATCCACAATGATCTCATCTCAAGTTCCTTACCTTAATTATGTCTGCAAAGACTCTTTTTCCAAATAAGGTCATAATCAAAGGTTCTAGAGATTCAGGTGTGGACATATTTGGAGGAGGTGGGGGCATCAGTCAACCCACTGTAGACGTGTCAGCTGGCATGCTTATTCTTTGCCCTGTCTTTCCATTCGTGTAGCTTGTAAATAATCAACATGTAACAAATATTTATGGTGGACCTACTGTAACCAGGCTCTGTTGGCGAATAGATTCTTCTGTGGAACCTAAAGCTTGAAGTGCTTTAAAAAACAGGTCTCTTTAGGGGTGCCTGGGTGGCTCAGGCGCTTAAGCTCTTGATTTCAGCTTAGGTCGTGATCTCATGGTTTGTGAGTTTGAACCCCGCTTCGGGCTCCATTTTGACATTGTGGAGCCTACTTGGGATTTTCTGTCTCCCCTCTGTCTCTGCCCCTCCCCTGCTCCCTCTCTGTCTCAAAATAAATAAATAAACCTTAAAAAAATGTCTTTTTAAAATTAAAAGTGTCCATATATTTTTGAGTAAGTAGTACCTGCCTATGATTTAAAAATCTGAAGTGTCTAAAGGGCATTTGAATGCTTTCCTTTTTCCTATTTTAGTTTCTTAAAAATGTTAACATCAGTATTTCTTTGAGCCGCTTCTCTTAGCATTTCTTTTCTCTGTTTTACTCCAGTAGGAAGTTCAGGGTAAAGATTTACCTGTATTCTTAGAACTCTTGGAATTTGAGGAAAATTTCCAATTTCTCTTGTGTACTAGTTTCCATAGTGCCTTTTCTGATCTTTTCCCCAGTAAATGAGCCCTAAACCCGATGTCTGCACTGTAGCTATTGCTTCATACTTAACTGAAGAAGTCAGGCTGTGTGCGAGCACTCTTGTACTAAAAACATTGTGACTTTGCCTTCTTTTATCCTAGAAACAGTTGTCCCTCTTCCTCTCCAGGGCTAAGCTTTTCATTTATAATCCTAATGCCAGCCCCTCCTTTGTGCCTCATCATTTATTCCTCTTCTCTCTCTTACTCTAATATTTTCTCATCCACTTTTTTTTCTCACAGTCAATAACTGTGTTGACTTCTTCTGCATTTTTTTGTTTTATTTATTTCTTTTGAGAGAGAGAGAGAGATTGAGATTGTAAGTGGGGAGGGGCAGAGAGAGAGGGAGACAGAGAATCCCAACCAGGCTCTGCACTGTCAGTGCAGAGGGGATTGAACCCACCAACTGTGAGATCACCACCTGAGCTGAAATCAAGGGTCTGATGCTTAACTGACTGAGCCACCCCATGTGCCCCAACTTCCTCTGTTTTTAAAGGAAAAAGAAAAAGCACCAAAAGCCGTGACAAAAGAAAAGGACCTTTGCTAGCTTCTTCTGTTCCCTGAAGCTTCCCTCCTTCCCTGGATCAGCAGACTCCTTAAAAACTGACCTAGGACCTTTGTTCCTGACTGCTCACTCCATAGAACCTACTGCCTTTGGAAGTCCTACTAGCCTCCTAGAGACCAGATTCTTTTTTTTTTTTTTTTTAATGTTTATTTATTTTTGAGACAGAGAGAGAGCATGAACGGGGGAGGGGCAGAGAGAGAGGGAGACACAGAATCCAAAACAGGCTCCAGGCTCCAAACTGTCAGCACAAAGCCAGACGCAGGGCTCGTACTCACGGACCGTGAGATCATGACCTGAGCTGAAGTCGGACCCTCAACTGACTGAGCCACCCAGGCACCCCTAGAGACCAGATTCTTACTCCACATGACCTCTTTTGTTCCCTTTCCTGAAATCTTCCTTAGGCTTTGTGCCACTGGCTTTCCGTATTCCCCCAGGCTCTCCGTTTAATCCTCTCCACCCAGGAACTTGTCCTTAATGGTTTCATAAACTCTCATGACATCCCTTTCATATCCGTGATCTTTCCTGACCTCTCTCTGCACCTTGGGAGGTTCTGCTGTCTTTGTGGATTTCCCTTTGCTTCTTAGGGGCTCCAGCTAGACATTGAGCACATTCACTTCTCTACTGATGGTTCTTTCACCCGTGTCCCTGTTTGCTCTTGATGGTACTTCCTTCTTGAACTTTTCCCTAGGATTGAAACCTTGGTGTCATCCTTGACTCTTGCCTGCTTTTTCCCCTACCTGCCCCTACCTGATCATTTTGGAAAAAAAAAAAAAAA